TAAGACGGTGATTCTGGTGCAGTATACATTTTCTAAAATTTCTTATTTTAATTATAATCTAATAAATAAATATGCGCTATTATGTACTTTGTTATTTGATTATTTAGTAATACCTTTTCTAAAATTATGTAGTAATTGGATTTAAAGCAAAAAATTTTTCCTCATATAGCTTTAAGCTCTTAGACAAACTACATTAAAATTTCCTCAATTTTCAGTTCCCCATGTTCCTCTTCACGAAGTACCACACCCACTCCAATGGTATCTTCCACAACAAACCCAAAACCTTTTATTAATGGAAGCGGTGATCCTCCACACTTTCAAATAGGAAAATTCACTCTAGCAGCTAAACTAAACTCGAATAAATCTGAGGGGTGTTTGGAACTCTATGCAGGACAACAACAAAGTAGTAATTCTTCGGCTGATACTCCAACTAATGGACAACCTATGGAAATTAATGTTTGGTTGGTTTATCAGTTTTAAGACAAAAATTTTTGTTCTCTGACACGAATATTCGAACGATAAATTTTAGTCGAAATAATTCCGACTTACAAAAATATCAAGCAATGGTACCAAAACCGACAATAACTTACTGGCACTGACAAACTTTATAAAATAGTTATTTGATAAATTAAATATTGTGTAAAATACATTGAACTCTAATTTATGCCCTTTATTAGAATTTATCTTAGCCTGAAACTTTATCTAAATCGAAAATAAAATTTCTAAAAACACAAACTTTTATTTTTCAAAATATCTAAATTCAAAATGTCAAATGTCAAAATACCCAAAATTATTTTTTAAAGCAATGTTTGTGGCGACGAAGCTTCTGGTCGTCACTACGGTGCTTCTACTTGTTTTGGTTGTAAAGGGTTTTTCCGTAGAACTGTGCGGGCAAATAAACAGTATAACTGCCGATATGAGGAAAAATGTCAAATTGATAAAGGTAAAATGAAATTTTCCGATAAATTTGAAATAGCGTAGCAGGTCTATAGCCCGAAATTTTTATACATAACTTGACTGTTCATTATATGAATAACCATTGATTGCCCTTATTATTTTAACCATTAGGGAATGGCTTTCAAAAATACAATTTATTGCTTGTTAAACTTAACAAAAAATGTTTAGCAACTTAGTTTTAATAAATATTAAACAAATAGTTGCTAATGTGCAAAACTGCTAGAAAAGATTTTTGATTATATTTTTTTACTGAGGATAAAAAATTCGTCACTTTATAGTATGTATATTTGTTATTTTTGTCCCTCTATAACCTCCATGCTTCGAAAATGGCAATTTTAAAACACCCTTACGACCGTCACTTAATATAAAAATAAAAATTTTTTTCAGTCGGCCGCAACATTTGCCGTGCTTGCCGTTTCCAAAAATGTTTAACGGTTGGGATGGAACCAGAAGCAATCCGTCCAGACCGCGACAAGACTGGAAAACAACGAAATCCTCGACGCTCTTCCCACACTTTGGGTACCTCCTCTCTTTATTCAAATGGCGGTTATTTTGATGGGACTACGTCTGGGGGTACTTTAACTATAAAATCTCAATCAACAAATACTTCTGTGGCTGGAGAATTAAATCAATTAATTACTGACGAGGATTTTTGTCAAAATAATGGTAATTTCTTAATTCTATATTTATGACAAACGTCGTAAGAACAATAGCTAATAAGATGAGTTTTTTTAACCATTATACAATGGTTTACAAAAATATAAGGATCTTGTTGACAAGCTTTCCCGTATTTTACTTATAAAACTTAATAAAAATCAGTAAAGTAAATACTTTATATGGTAAAATTCCGTCATATCACCCGGAAACCGATTCAGACAAATGATATGTCTTTCGAAAGATCTCACCGAGCTGAGTCGAACGACACCAAAATTAGCTTCGGGACTCACCTGTGGGCCGAGATATAGGTCACCGAAAATCGAAAAACCAAAGGGGGGAGTAAGCTCAATTTTGGGGTGAAAAATTCGAATATGCAAATTATACCTCATTCGAAAGAGCTTGTCGAGCTGAGTCGAATGAAACCAAAATCAACGAAATTCGACTTGATTTGACAAAGTTATGATCGTTTCTTTTAGCTCCTTACCTATGGTCTCCGAGGAGGTTTTTGCTGCTAAGGAGGAAGCCAGGCATGCCCACCTCATCGATGATAGGAATAGGATTACGTTACGAGCCCAGAACCCAGCGCCCGTAGACTCCCCGCGAGGCGCGTGCCGCAAAACCCCGCGCGAAGCGCGGGGTTTTGCACAAGCGCCTCGCCGACGCTCCATAGGTTTAAGTTGACCATTTTGAACCTCTTTATCTAGGCTAAAAATCAAGATCTCGAGCTGATTTTGGTGTCATTCGACTCAGCTCGAGGAGCTCTTTCGAATGAGCTATCATTCAAAAAATCGAATTTTTCACCCCAAAATTGAGCTTACTCCCCCCTATGGTTTTTCGATTTTCAGGGGCCTATATCTCGGCCTATAGTTGAGTCCCGAAGCTAATTTTGGTGTCGTTCGACTCAGCTCGGCGAGATCTTTCGAATGACATATCATTTGTCTGAATCGGTTTCCGGGTGATATGACGGAATTTTTCCCTTTATATTGTGCAAAATTTTTAAAAATTATGACCAAAAATGCTGATTCGTTTAGGTTCATTGGCCATATTTTTAAAAATATAACCTAAGCCGGGGTTTCTAGCTTAAAACCTCAGAAACACGCAAACATGAAATCCAGATTTTATAAAACTGTTTCAAATTATAGTGCTGGGAACCGTTCCTATGACTTGACTGTTCTAACCCATATTTTTTGTATTCCCGATTATCCTCTTAAAATCTATCTAAATAACATAAATTAAGGAATGCAAAACGACCCTCTAGCTAGACGAAGAGCCAACACAATAAATGATCTTCGCTCTTTGGCAGAAGAAATTAGGCGTTCCCAAAGAGATCATGACCAACAACAATTACAACGTATATCTGAAAGTGCAAGTGTTGTTAATGGAAATGGAGGGGCTTCGTCTCCAGAATTTGAGCAAATGAGTCAAGAAAAGGCTTTGATTATACAGGTGGGGGAAAGTTTGAATAATTGTTGTGGGAAAAATTTTATTGGTTAATGAGTTGTAATTTACTTAATATTAATTATTAATTTGTGTCAATTTTAAATCAAGTGAACAAGAACTAAATTTTGTTGCCGTAAGCGCCCAAGGGAATTTACTTAATATTATTTAATTTTAGTTTAGCTTTTTTTAATGATTTTAAAATTAGCCAAGCATTTACTTAAGTCGCAAGTTTTTGGAAGCATATTTTTGTAAGTCATGTTGTAAACATTGACTAAATTGTTAAGTTAATTTTGTTAAGGCCTGACTGGGCTCAAATTCCATCCAAGTCGATTTTGTTTGCATTATTAACCATAAGAATTTTCTTAATGTTAATTAATTTTGTTTGTATTGAGTATAAGATTGTTAATATAATGCCATTAATACATTTTTGTAAACATAAAAGATTCTATATTTTTGCAAGTCAAGGATACAACTTGACTAATTTACTAAGGAGTTAAATTTTTGTTTAAGTGTGAGTTGATTAGATCATCTTATTTGTTAGTATAGAATAATAACCTCAAAATCCTAAGTTCAATTCGTATCATGTCTAAAATCTAAACACGATTTTATAAAACTTCAATTGAAAATTATTTTTAGACACTTCGAGAGATTGAACGTATTGTTTGTATATCAGAACAACAACAAAGACAACAATCCCCACTACTCAATTTGTCTCCTAAAAACAAACAAGAATTAGAAGATGATGAAAGAATGCGTAAAGAATTTGATTCAGCCATTAGAGCTGGTAATTTGAGCGAAATGGATCAGATGTTGGCTGCTTTACAACAACCCAGACTTATCGCTGACAGAACTGAGGTGAGAAAAACTTTTTAATTGGGTTGGTAATTAAGTCCGAATTTAAAAAGTAGATGTCTTAGGATTTAATAAGACAAACACTATAGTAGCCAAGCTATTGATGCCCAGCTTTCAAAAATATTAATTAGCGCAATAACCAACTCATTCTGAAAAAGCACGATTTTTAAAATAAAAACGTAAATATAATATTTAACATTATGTAAATTTTAATTTTCAAAAAATATTTTTTGAAACTTTTTCACAAATCATACACCCAAAAACAACTAAAAATACTCTAAAAGTGATCTCTAGGGTATAAGAGACCAACTTGTTGACAAAGAACAAAAATTCCTCGTGACACCCAGCTGGCGAAAATGTGTAAAAGAAAGGACAGAGTGAATGTCTATTTTTTCCCTTTCTTTTTCTAAAGGACAAAAATAAAAAGAGAAAAAAATATTTTTGAGTGTCTGCCAAATTGGGTCTTGTCTCCGTTTAAAAAATTTCTTTTTGGTCGTTGTGCCATTAAAAAAAGAAAAAAGAGCGTTGGCGTGAAAATCAAGAGCGACATTTGCGAACACGCAAATTGCGGTCTTAGGCAAAATAAATTTTAAAATTTAAAAGAAAAATTTTATTTCATATATCTTATCACTGATAAAAATTTTTGTAATCCTCTTTAATATTTCTGCCCTTAAAATACGCCCCATGACATTTACTAAACAGAAACGCCGCACTTGTCGTGTTCGCAAATGTCGCGAGGCTGTAAATAAATAATAAAATAAAAAAATAGATCGTTGGTCGACGGGAAAAGACTAAAGTCCGTTTGGCGGAAATTTTAAAATAAAAATGTAAATAAATAGTACAAATTTTATAAAAGTACATAGATGAGAATAACCGCGTGAAAAAAAAGAAAAAAAAGGAAAAAAATTTTGAGGGAAATTTAAGTAAAAATTAGGGGGATTTTGGGGAAAAACTAAAAAATAATTAAAAAAATTTTTTTGAATAATTAATTGATAAAGATTCTATTTCAGACTTTAATTTTATGTAGAATCTTGGGGCTTGAAAATTTTTATATGTGTTTATCTCAATAGAAGTCTCTGGCGTTAAGTTTTAAATGTGTCGCACCGAGCGGACTTTAATTAAAAGCCAACAATTTTGAAATGTTCTATAGCACTTATTGATGTTCAAAATTATAACTAGAGCATGGACTTCTATGTCATAGAATATATAGAACTTTGACCCCTTGACAAAAAATTAATTTAGTCAGGAACAAATCCCCCGACTTTCAAAAATATTCTATGGATCTTTACACGATTCACACATTTTCTGGCCTCATTAGTGATATTGTATTAAACATAATTGAAATAATATATATGTTGCAAATTATTATTTTTTTTAGCTAAATTATTCTGGCTCTCGATCACTCTCGGACTGGACAGAATTACGTTATGCTTTACGTCGACAATTGTTGTTAGCTATAGACTATGCTAATACACTTAAACCTATTGCTGATTTGGCACAAGTTGAAAGGGTGAGGAATTTTTTGATAAAACTTTTTTGCCTCTTAAAAATGGTCCAGGATTTTTTTTTTAAATTTTTGGCCCTCCCAGAATTCATGAGAACAAAAATAAGCCGGTCTCCTACAATTTTTTGACATTTATAAGATTATAGTTGGGTTCAAATTGAGACCCGAGCTTAATTCTGATTTTATTCTCTGAATTAGAGTATGGGTGATATGACAGAGTCTCAATTGCTTTGAAAATTTTATAAGGTGTTCTGACTTCAATTTTTCCTTTTTTCAGTTGTCGCTCTTGCGAGGCACTTTGTTACCCTTTACGGTCTTTGCTGTAGCCTGTCAAAGTGCTTTTGCACATCGAAGTGAACACATTTTGTTACCTAATGGATTATTCATTGATGCACACACTGCTTTGGATTTACTTTTGCCTAGGAAGGGGGCAATGTGTCCTCCAATGCTTCGTTGGCGATTGGAGACTATTCGGGCTGAATGGATAAATACTTTGGTTAGTTTTTCGGATTTTTGAATATTGCAAGGGTTCATTAGGCTTGGTTAAGGATTATAAAGTGAACTAACGAAGCGGAAAAACAGAACCGAAAATTCGGTAAGGAAATATGGAAGACCTACATAGTACTACAATTAGCTAAGTTTTTATTTGCAAAGTATATATTATCTTAATTAGATTTTTATAATAATTAATTCGAGAGGGCAACAGCATGTGTTAAGTATTTTTTGTTTTTCAAATTATTTTTGTGAGTTAAGTGTGATACTTGACTAAATTTCTAATTTAGGACCTAAAATATAGAAAAATATATCTATACTTTTAACATCAATTTAATTTTTTAACATTTCAGCAGCCTTCTCTTGAACAACTTTCTCTTAGCGAAGTAGAATATGTTACTTTAAAGGCAATAATTGCTCTCGAACCTCACACTCCAGGGCTAGGGAGAGAGACAATACGTCTGCTTAATGTTGCTCGAGATTCAGTTCAGAATGCTCTCTTTCTGCATTTGGTAGATCAATGTCCACAAATGCAGTTGGCAATTGGACGTTTTGGAAGATTGTTAATGCTTGTTACGAATATTACGGTAAGGGATTTGGGAGAATGCTTTTTTATTGGGGGCATATTTTGTAACCATACCTTTTTGACGGATGAACCGATTCGTATTTTGTTAGTCTACCGAACTTAACTTTCTGATTAGTTGGTCATAATTTTATCATTTTGTTGGATATTCAATTCGCTTTCGAATAATATATAAAAGAGAAATGATCCTTAGACTTATTAGAGTTTGGAACGTTGCGATGCCTGATCTCAACTTGATATCCTCCTATTATTATGAATACTTTAAATTATTTTTGGAAGTTTACTCAATATAAATTATTTATTTATTTATTAAAAATCACAAATTTTTCAGAAGATAGCTTCACACATTTCCAACTTGGTCCAAGCATTTGTCGAATATCAACAACAACAACCAAACTTGAACACTATAGAACCTGACATTCTTTTAACTTTTCTAACGTTTACGCAACACAATTCAAATAATTCTTTACTAAATGGAGACGCTCGAAGACGCACCTCTGCCGCGTCTTCAAGCAGTTCAGGCACCTGTAGCAGCAACACTGACAGTCCAATGATGCGTGGGACAGTGTCAACACTCGCCGCTGAGGCAGCGGAAGAGGAAGATGATGAAGAGGAAGATGGGGATGATGAAGAAGGGGAAGAGGATGATGAGGAGGAATTGAGAGATGAGGAAATACAAATGGAGTGAATCCGAGTTTTGGCAGGCTATTTAATTTTTTGAAAATTTGGCGTTGTTTTGGCGTTATGATTTTTACGGAAAAATCGTTCTGTGAAGAAATTTTTAAGTTTTTGATGGACTTTAGCGCAAGATTTGCACCATATTATTCCTGAATTGTTAATTGTTTACCGATTTTGTTATATACAGAATGCCAAAAAATTATTATTTTTTTGGTGTTTTGATTCACCTGAAATATTCCACTTTTTTATTTTTATGTTGTTTTTTTGTTACTACTTAGGGTGTAACATAAGTTTTGATACCCGACCATGTTTTTCGATGAATAATTTAATGGATATGGATGTTCTATATACCATTCGAAAGCTTAATTCGTATCTCGTTTGACATGTTTCAGCGTTTTTAAAAAAAATTTTAAACTTCTTAGATATACACGGGTAAATGGGATATAGTCGGATATGCCAAATCCGGATCCGGCTAAATAAATTTTTTACAAAAGATCTAACATAATATGATTATTCACAATAATTTTAGAAGCCAGAATCAAAAAAAATCAGAGTCAAATCTTTTTCCTAACCCAAGATATGAATTTTTAAAAAACGGGAATTTTTCACTTTTTTGTAAAATTATTTGGTCGCTAAGAGCAATTTTTCTCATTTTGTCACACTTTTGACAAAAATGTTAAAAAATATGTGATTTTCAAAAAATCATATCTCTGCTCAGACACAAAATTTTTAAATTTTGTTTTTTTATCCTAACTCAGAAAAATCCACGGAATAGTAATAAATTAATTCATCTTAAGTAAAAAATTTATTTAGCCGGATCCGGATTTGGCATATCCGACTATATCCCATTTGCCCGAGTATATCTAAGAAGTTTTAAATTTTTTTAAAAAACGCTGAAACATGTCAAACGAGATACGAATTAAGCTTTCGAATGATATATAGAACATCCATATCCATAAAATTATTCATCGAAAAACATGGTCGGGTATCAAAACTTATGTTACACCCTAAATAAAAATGCCAAAAGAAATTTTTTCAATAAAATCTTCTAATTTATTAAGACATAAGGTAAAGAAGGATTTAGAGTAAGAGAGAGGTAAACGCTTTGACCCGGGCAGGGGGTATATGTTATTTGTAAGTATATCCTGGGAGTATATGTTAAGCGCCTTTATCATCACTTAGTCTTTACCTCGAGCTGCCGTGCGCTCCTTTTAGTTTTCATGTTAATGGTTCTTGAACCCCACCTTGAAACTCCGTGGCTTCTTCAAAATTTAAAACTATTGTGCATTAGAGGCCCAGTCACCATATTATTCCCTGAATTGTTACGCCCAGTCCTTCAGTCTTTTCCGAAAGACTCTTAAAAAATGTTTAATTGTAGAAATTTTTTTGGCATTTTTAAACTTACTTTTATTTAATAAAGCCCGTTATTATTTTTACCAGAAAGCTGCCGTTCCTTCTTTTAATAATTGTTTTTATTTAATCATTTACCACAATTGAGAGAAATTTATCCAAATAAATTGCAAAACACTCGGCTCTTTCAATTCCACACCTCAAATATTTTTTGTTTGTTAAGCGTTAAAAAACTTTTTTTAACGTGTTTCCTCATTCTTCAAAACTTTCATTTACTCCGTATATAATATTTAATTAATTAAAATGAGCATGAAACGAATTTCAAAACCTCCACGCTTTTCTTTCTTATAGCACTAAAATTGGAATATAGTAGAGAACGGAACGAGATTTCTAAAAATTGCATTATTGAGATCGATAAGTTTTGAGATATGTCTTATGACCTTTTAATCCCTTCTCAATATATAGTAAAAATTCCAAGCTCTATTTTATGAGTCTTAAATTAAGACCTTCCTTAAGTTTTTTCGTTACTGATATTAGAAAGTTTTCGTGGACATCTCTACTATATAGTTGTGGTTTGAACATTTTATTTTGATCATTACAATCATTCTTTATATTTAAAGGCTAGGAAATTTAAGAAATTTTTTTAATCAATTATTAAATTTCCTAGCCTTATTTATCTATTTCAATTAATTACCACATTCTTTTTCAATTTCTGCGGACATCCCGACGGCACAAATGTGTAAATAAACATTTGAAAATAAATTTGATTAGATAATTTGAAATTACTTTGTTCTATTTCTGTTTTTAATCTGCTTTCATTTTCTCCCTTGAATATTCCACAGTATATCCGGTGTTATAAAGATTCGTAAATTTAAAATATATCTATATTTTTTATTGGAATTTTAACCAATTCTTTTGTAGTAAAATATAGCGAAACTTGTAACTCTAGGGATTTCAATATTTGTTGGACGTCTAAATACTGTAAGGATGATTCATCCAGCAGCATTTAAAACGCTTAGTCGGGGGTTAAACGATCTAAAAAGGAAAAAGAGAAAGCATTAGTCGATGCCTCGGTAGCTCAGAGGTAGAGCTCCTGCATATAGTGAGCGAAAGCGCCTAGCAACAACTAGCAGGTGGTCGCAGGTTTGAATCCTGGCCGGTGGCTAAAGTTTTGCAAACTCTTTCTATACAAAAATCATTTCAACATTTATCCACTGCTCAAGAATGGCAAGAGTGGACTAAGCTCTTAGTTCACTGAAATAGGGCTAAACTTATTTCTAGGGTCTAAAGCCGCTATTAGTATAACGGTCTTTCAGCTATCAGTAAATAGTTTTTGAGCTGATATTATCAGCAAACATAAATCCAACATTCTCTTGAAACAAGTTTCGTGTTTTTTTATGTAATATTCGTATATATTTTTAAATAAAATATACATCGACATGGCTAGTTTTATAAAAATTATTTTTCAAATATTTTATATTAAGTAGATTTTTTACAACTGTAATTTAAAAAACTTTAAATAATCGCGATTAGTTTTTTTCCAGTTTATATTAAAATTGTATTAGACATCCTCTAGTTAAATGTTACTATGATTATTTTTATATATTTAGCGACTTTATCTTTCTTTTAAAATTTTTTTAATTTTTAAATTTAAATATAACATATCTTCTAACATTACCGTTGGGGCTAGGGTAGATAAAATTGTTATAATTTCTCCATAACTCTAAAATTTTGTATAGATTTATCAAATTCGATACTGGAATCACTAAAAATTTCAAAATCTTTTAGAATACAATTAAATCTAAATTAAAAGTTTTGTATTTCACATTTTATTGTCGAAAATTAGGCAGTTTTCTCGACTTTTGACCATAACTTTTGAGATACAAAACTAAAAATTCTGAAACCTTCAGCGAGGTCGATAACACAAAAAGTATATCCAGCAAAATCTCAGAAATTTAGTAAATTTTTTGAAAATTTAATTAACTCAGGTTTTCTCTTTTACGAGACGTTGTCGAGTTAAATTAATTTATAAATTTACGGAAAAATAATTTAAAAAATTAAAAAAAATTTTTGAAAAGAAAGATAAAACTTTTCACAATTCTTTATTATATTTTTTAAATCTCCCGCGTGATTTGTTAACTTTAAAAACTTTCAAAATTATGTTTCTTCCTTTCCTTTCCCATTCCTAAAGACAATTTTTATTTACTCCAGTGAAACAAACAAAACAAAATTATATTTTTCATTTTCTAAAAACAAGAATAAAAAATTTGAAAAAAATTGTTATAAATGTTTGAGTTTATTTATTTCTGGGTCTCATGTTGGCTACGGGCTCCGGGTGTAAAATCTAATGGATAATATTATGGGATTTGGGTAGATTTCGAGGATTTCGTATGATATTAGGCGATTAAGAGGGATATTAAGTAATTACGCGGGATTTGGTGGATTAAGAGGTATATTGTTTGATTAACATTGTTTTTCCCCATTTGAGATTTTCTAAAAATCATTGGCGTGCATAATCAATATTGAAAGATTAAGGACGCAAGATCCAGAAAAATCCGCAGCTGGATCCCGCCCTAATTCAAATACATGTTTGAAGTAACTCGGCGAGATTATAGCTTCTTCTTTAACTCATTTACATTTTAGTTTTTATTTTTAAGTAAATATTTTTGATAGTTATATGATATCTGAATCTATAACTAAGTTTCTGCAAAAATAACTTTAGAAAATTTTATTTTAAATTTTAATTATTTATTTTTAAATCAATTTTCTATATTTTTTCCACGTAAAATGGCAGACTTTCTCTATAAAGCAGGCATCATATGCTATAGTGCAACCATGTTGGCAATGTTGTTTAATTAATTGCGCGGTTATTTTTAAAGAAAACGCTCTCGTTGGGTATAAAATAGCGAAAAACAGGTAAGAATACAAATAGAAAAATACATTTTGGCAAAATAAAATTATCGAATCTAGGGAAAGCACGCATCTATGTCTAATGCCATGTTTACAAGGAGTCTTGCGTTTTATGGCAAAAATAGCATTTAAAAGGGGAGACAAAACCCGTCTCATTTCTCTCTCTCTCATATCTCTTTCTCTCTCATCTCTCTCTCTTTTCTCTCTCTCACTTTCTCATCTCTCTCTCTTCTCTCTCTCATCTCTCTCTCTCATTTCTCTCTCTCTCATAAAAATCTTTCTCAGTCTAAAAGAAAAATATTTTCAAAGCCAAATATTGAAATTTAGAGACAATCTCTTTAAACGAGAGAAATCCTAATCCATATACGCGCGCATTTTTATATATTTAAATTGACAGTCAAGCAGCTCAGATTCATTTACAGCCTTCTTTTTAATTTTAGAATTTTTTGTATCTTTAAAAATTTTTATTTTAAATTAAAATAAAAAATAATTTATAAAAAATAATAATTTATTTATATTAAAAAATAAATTATAATAAAAATAATAGAAAATAAAAATAAATAAATAATGAATTTATCAATTCATCAATTCGATAAACCCTTCATTTTTGCTTTCCGCTCTATTTTGAGTGCTCAAATGTAAATATGATGGGAGATGATATCGTTTATGAAGATCCGCTAAACTACCAAGCTTCTGCCAGAAACATACAAATTTTTAGAAATTTTCTTTTAATAATCTCATAATCTAAGT